CAAAGAAACTACTAACACCTGACAAATGGATGTTGGTTGTTTTAAATTTTACATTATTTTTATAAATTTGTTTTGTTTTGTTTTTAGTTAATTAATTAATTAATTAATTTTACAGCGTCATATAATTTATTATTTTCTTTTTCAGAGATCAAGACATCACAGAGACTCCGAGACGACTCTATTACCAGAAACGACACATATCACTTTATTGGAAACAAGTAAGTTTTACGATAGTAATAATAATACAGTCTGTCTCAAAATAATGTTAAAAAACAAATCTCTATATGATACGGTAGCGTAGAAGGTCCACATTTTTCTTTATTTCTGAAATGCTGTGTTCGATCCAGGAATTCATTGTTTAAACACGGAAATAGGCTTACCAGTCAGGAAAGTCAGCTAACCTAGCTTTTAAAGTCAATAGATCGCAATAGCTACTTTCTTAGAATATAGCAGTTTTTAGTAATGCCTCAACCAGGTCAATAAAGAAGAAAAACGTCCCAATAACAATATACAAATACATCACTACCAGAAGAGAAAAGGATCATTTTATCCTCTCTAAAAAAAGAAGGAATACTGTCTTAAATGCTGCGGTTAGTTCTAGTCAACGACCTACTATACTCAAAACATGGCTTCCAGTGCCTAGGAAACGCGGATGACCTAGCAATTGTCGTCAGGGGGTGATCTCAAATAGCTCTAAATATAGTGAACAACTGGTGCAAAAAGAAGAAATTGTCAATTAACCATAAACATAGTTATTCCATTTGTCACAGAATCCAAATACCTCAGTCACATTTGCCCAATGGCTGACATCTCAAAAAACTCGAGCTCTCATAAAAATGACCATATTTTGGTTATTAACAAGGATAATAGCCGAGCAGTTCTAAATGCAATTCTCTCCGCAAAAATCAAATTACGACTAGTGACAGACTGCGTAGAAGACCTTACATACCATACATACATACCATAGCTAAGTAGTCAAAACAAAATAATATTAGCCTGGTTACCAGGCCACGAAGGATATCCGGGCATTGAAAAGGCCGATTAACTAGATTGAGAAGGCTCGAATAAGGGCATGACAAGCTACAAACCCCCATCTGTGAAGTAGCTAAGACATTGTGATGTAAGGCATCCAAGACTTTGGAAGATCCGGGGATTTTAAAGACCTCAAGGAGTTTATAACGAATTATTTGTATAATACTCTTGATGGTTTCAGCAGTGATTCCATCCGGAACTGGTGCTTTACCCGTTTTTAATGTATCATTCACTGCCATGAGCTCCTTCTTTGAATGAGTTATATTCCGTAACTCTACTCCATTGTTATGAATCTTCCCAGTCAAAGAAGAGCTTATAGATGACTTCTTTAATTTTTATAATAAATAGGTTGTAAAATTGGCTAGACAAAGCAAAACTACCACTAGACACCTAGAGTCTAGTAGCAATGTTATAACTTTAATTTCAAATGCCATTTTCCAGTTGCAGAGATATTTCCGTCTTTTTGTTTTCTCTGGGAATACCGTGCATAATTAATTGTTTTAAATACACCCTCCATTGACAGAGTAACCTAGAAAAAATGTTAAGCATTTTATGATAGTATCTTCAGTTTATGAAATATTATTCATTGTAATTTTTTAAATTGTCATCCTATAAAGAAATGGAACCATTTAAAACTGTATATGTTTTTTAGTAGTTTCAACGTTATGTTTGAAGTAATATACCTTTTAAACAAAAATACCATTTATTTCCAGCATTACTTAATTTGATATAATTTAAACGCTGCAGTTGAGCAGTATGAAACATAAAATTACCTCAAAACCACCCTCCGGTCCGTCTATTATATAAATTGGAACTAAAAAAGTTCTGACGCCCAAGATAAATGGGCGCCTCTCGAAAAAACTGGTCTTCCATTTAATTTTTGCTCTTTAAACTTTTCATTTAAGAACTTTTAGCTCATTAACCGGAAAAACTTTAAGATAGGGACTATTGCTGTTCTTCGTTAGGGCAATTTTCAACATTCACATTAATTATATGATGGCCGACGTTTTCTCGGAGAGATCTTTCTGGCAAGATGGCGGTCGGGAATTTTACTATGCGTTCATAAAATGTATATTGGCCTCTAAGTTTCCGAAATTAGATAGATATAAAAGGAGTAAATGCCTATTTGATTGATTTAATATATTTTATATTAGGTGATACAAACGAATTGCATAGCGATGACACGTAGAAATGTTATTTTATATTGAATTAAAATAAGTTTTGCTAGTAGTTTTGTAGATCACAATTTAGATTAAATTGTACGTTTTCTGTTTTGTTCAAAATCGTAGTTTTAATATTCGATCGCTTATAATGGTTATTGGAAAGTATAAAAAACTATAGAAACATCACGTTTTTAAAAAACAATGCTTTTTTTATAGAAAAAAGTTAAAAAAAAACAAAAAACATTTGAAAAATGTTGGTTATTCATAAATAAAAAAAAAATAGCTACTACAGTTCATCAAATTTCTAGAGGCTTTCGACGGCTAGACAGAGAAAGCACTACTGACAGGCATCCCGACGGATTTACGCAATGAAAGTACACTCTGCGCATCAAGTATTTCACTATTTCATTCAGACGTAAATGTCAGATGTAAATTTCGCTAAAACATTTCTTTTATTTTCGTTTGTGTTTTTTGCTCATTACAGTTTAATAGAACCTAAGTATGGAGTTTAATAGCAAATTAAGAGGCCGCGTGATTAACAGTCAATCTCGCGAAATAATAGCCAATGTTATAGAGTTTATGAGAAGAGAAGGAAACTTTAATTCACCTTCAATACCATTTAAAAATGTAAATGATCGTGTTGCTGCAGCCACAGGAGTATCTAAAAACACTGTCGTCCGCATTTCTGGAGAGAAAAAAAGAATCGATAACCGTGAGATATCGGAATTTTCATCACCAAGAAAAACCATTAAAAACAGTTAATGATATAGATGAAGCTGCACAAGAATCAAATTTTATTTTTTTATTATTAGATAGCTATTTTTGTTTCTGAGTTGTGTTCATTTACAGGCTCAATTTTTTTCCGTTTCTCCTTTTTGATTTTATATGGGGTTTCAAGTTGTTTTTGACTTATTTCGACGTAAATCACAACAACACACTTTTTTAATAAAGCAAACAAGTGTTAAGAGGTATATGTACGTGTAAACTACAATTACAAAAAATTGATATGAAACCCATGAAACCACCAACAAAAATGTAAAGCTAGCTTCCGTACTAGAACATGGTGTCATTCGTCGAGATAATTTATCGTTTTGTTTAATAGATCAAGAAATGTAAATATTCCCCTGTTATTTTTTATAAAATTATAAGAGAAATAATTTTTTTTCTAAATAGTATAGTTTATTATTTTGTAGAAAAACAAAATTTCGAAAATTTTAGTAATGTTTCAGAAACAACCGTTATTAATAATAGGTACCATTTTCCTTAATAAGGTAGAAATAAAATATAAACTATTTCCACGATTTACAAAGGCCTACAAAAAAATTATAGGTATTTTCCGCTATCCTATAAAATTTATATTTTCTGACTCAATTTCAAAAGGTTGAAGGAATTCCAAAACACCTTTTATGGCATAATAATTATTTTCAATTCTACATACTATCTTTAGCTGCTTTTAAAAACGTTCTAAGAAAGTCCAATCAGACCAATTTAATCCCTAAACTATTCCACACTTTTAAAATTTAATTACCTAAAAATATTAAAAACTATTTAAAATAACTTGTTTAGCAGACTGTACAATAGCTATCTTAGTCACACGTAGCGCGTTCTCTGTCTGGGCGTCGAACACCTCTAGAAATTTGATGAACTGTAATTGAACATTTAAATAACTATTAATAATAAAAATAAATATATTTAAAATATTTTTTATAATAACAAGTTATAAAAGTAATTTTATAAAGAAGCCTCAAAAAGTTTGATGCATTTGTCATTGATCCCATCATCAGATTTTCCACCAGATCGAGATGGATGAAAAGGATATAGAAAAAAACCTAATTGACAACTGAAAATGGTCACTGGGAGCTCCTGAGAATGCCACTCGGCTTAAGACGAGCCCCAGAGACATTTCAACGAGTTATAGACAATACAAAACAAGCAATGTCTAGTTTACCTAGACGATATAATAATTTTTTCAACGTCATTGCAGTACCACATTAAATGCTTAACAAATGTTTTCAGCGTCTTAGAGAGTCAAACTTCAAAATTCAGCTGGATAAGTCCGAATTTTTAAGAAAAGACGTGGTTTACTTAAGTCACATAGTGACTCCAGAAAGCTTCAAATCGAATTCCGATAAAATAAAAGTGATCAAAGAATATCCAATACCTTCTGTAATGAAATAAATTAAAGGTTTCTTAGGGTTGTTAAGGTATTATTCAAAATTTTGCTAAAATAACCGTTAACTAAAAACTTGCAAAAATTTATTAATTAATGAGCCAATTTTGCAATACCCTGACTTCTCAAAAATCTTTAATTTAACCACGGACGCAACCAATGTCGCCCTGGGTACTGTTCTCTCACAAGGCCCTATTGGTAAGGAACTGCTAATGGCATATGCATTTTGTACTTTAAATAATACAGAACAAAACTTTTGGCCATTGTTTGGGCCACTAAATATTTTCGACCGTAACTGTACAACCGAATCTTTAATATTCCTTAAGTAGCTCTTCTCCTTAAAAAAAGAAAACATAAAATTTACTCGCTGAAAATTAAAATTGTCAGACTTCACATATAACATAATTTACAAAAAAGGTAGTCTATATTCAAACGCCGAAGCTTTATCTAGAATTGAACTGCATACTAAAGAAACAGATCCTTTTGGCAACAAATAGAAGATGCTGAAAATTACAATGCAAAAAACTCAGATCTCTTCAGCTATAATACACCACAACAAAGCACTAACCAAAATGACCTTAAATGATAAATTTTCCATTACTATTAATATTGTTGAAATAAATAATCTATACAGAATGGGAAAAAAGGGAAATCGGAATAGACCAACTTTAGTATCCTTGACTTCATTTTTAAGAAAACAGGAAATCTTACGTAATGGACAAACTAAATGGTTCTGGCATAATTGTTACTGAAGATTTCACGGAGAAGACTCTAGAGCAAAGAAAAATATTAGTTCCATATTATGAGGAATAAAAGAACTATCTAAAAGGTAGTCAACTGATAATTGAAGGCAAAGCTTTTACTTGTCAAGACCTTCAAAAAATTGAAACTGAATTAGATATTTTCCAATTTCAACCTCAACGAGAAGTCGTAAGCGAACCTCCAACTCCTACAGCAAATTACCAGAAGAAACTGATATTGATGTAGTATCTGACACCTTAGATGCAAATTGTTCCAACGCTAACGAAGTCAAGTCCCAACCAAGGAAGTTGTTACAATAAAGAATACTTTAGTTATCAATAGAGCCATCGTCAGTGTCAGAAATGCCTAAGAAGTCAATGAGAAAACGAAGTCCTATTACCAGGGGTATCCATAAAAAATAACAGCCATATTGTGTATATTGTGCAATTGTTTATATTAATGTGCTTGTTTGGATTGATTGTTGAAACCGGCTCTGTATGCTAGTCTTAATATTCCGATACCGACACTGACTATGTATGTAAAAATTAAGGATGTTAATGTCAAAGTATCTTGTCACTGAATATATTTCAAAAAACTGTCTATTAGGCATTCCAAACTAAATGCCTACCAGTGGGCTTTGACGGTTTATGATATTGCAAAATTATGACAACCCTGTAGACCTGGTGATTTGACAAGGTCAATGAAATAGATAGTTACATAGATTGATTATCCATATTTTTCAAAATAAACATAAGCGTATGCCTTGAAGTAAAAATGTAAGCAATTATTTTTTTTAAATATCTAAAGGCTAAAAATTGGTTTTAAAACACATTTTTGCTAAACCGATTCAAATTAATAAATATTTGCCAGGCAATATGGCCGCTTGTAAACGACCAGCTTTGAGCAGTCTATATAACTAACTATATATGTATCATTGACCCTGTTAATGACAACATGACAACAGGGTTGCCATATCTAAACTGTCATTAGCCACTGGTAGCCATTTGGACAGGTCGTTGGAATGCCTAATTTTTTGGTATAAAAAATTAAGATTTCCTTGCGAACCAGCATTTTATAAAGGAAGGCTTCAGCCCGTCAGTGCTGCTGCTATTTGTAGTTCAATAGTATTTTAATATTTTAGTAATTTTTCAACTATATGTTTTTTGTCGTAAATAAAAATAAGAATAAGTGTAGTTTCTTGTATTGCATCTTAATGCTTTTAAAGATTTAGTTTATTTTAAATATGATATTATTGGAGTAACGAAAACCAGGCTTTTAAATAATATTCCCGACCATATTATACAACTTAATGGTTATCTACAAATGACGGCACTGGTCAGATAATTGGAGAATTGTACAGTTGTATCGACAATAAAAAACCCTCCTTATGCGTTTTTCTTGACCTTGCCAAGGCTTTTGATAGATTGCTGCATTATCTCTCAATCTTTTTAAAAGCAGAACATCTGATAAGAGGACTCGGGTTGCTGCTCCATATACTGCAAGGCTCTTTCTAAAGCAGCAAAGTCGTCTTGATTAGAAATGCGTTCACTAACAAACTCTTGCTTTTAATCTTCGTTTTCAAGCAGGTCTTGCTCTTAAGTTTGATCAGATGCAGCTACTTCTTCTATAGAAAGCTCTTGCTCATGGTCATCAGAAGAAATTCATTGATTAACATCTTGTTCTGCAACATCTTCACATCCCTTTATTTGTTTCATTAAATCAAACAAGGTCATCTCATCCTCACAAACGCTGTCATCTTGCACATCCCTTAATCTTACAGCTAGCTGATTTAGAGGGAAATCGTCTTCTGTGTCATCATTCTAGCTCAAAATATTGTTCCAGGATTTTTGTATTGTGGATGCTTGTACAGATTTCCAAGCTTGACTCGCTCAGTAGATAACATATTTAGATAATTCATTATTTTCTGTCATCTCTAACACATGTTCAAGAAACAAACGTCCATGGGTTGAGGAATGCTGGTGACGTCGGGCGGTAAAAACTTAAAATAGTAATATCCCCTACCCGAAAATCTTCTCCAGGATGTGACGGATCATTATCCATAAGTAAAATAACCTTTATGGAGAGTTTGTTTTGTCCAAAAAATTCGTCACTCTTTAAACCATGGACTAAATAACTTTGTATTCATTCTCTTTTTTTGGCTTGTGTAATAAACTGGAAGGGTATTTGGAGAAATGTTTTTTATGACTCTAGGACGGGATGATTTTCCTATAACCATAAGTGGCATCTTATGTGTACCTGATGCATTCGCATATGCCATTACTGTAAGTCTCTCTTTACTGCGTTTAAAACCTGGGGCTGCCTTTTCCTGTATGTACCTATGTAATTTTGTAACTTATAAAAACGTACAAAATCTGCTCTGCAGATAGAAATATAATAAGGAGGGATTCTCCTGTACCCATTCTGGGATTCCCGTAATTACCCGATCTGTTAGGCCTGATACTCGAATAACACGACATCGCTCGATTAATACGGATTTCAACGGCGGTATTACTCAACTTTTTAAGTATCTTGTTGTAATAGTTTAAAGTACATTTGTTTTAAGTATTTTATATGACATCGGTCATTCACACCGCAAATTTTTTTTTACATGTACAATTTCAAGAAATTGTCTTTTTTCAAATGTTGTTCTGTGTCAAGGAATTTAACGATTTCATAGTCAAATTCATTTTCTGTTTCTAACTTGTGTTTTCCTAAAGCCGTTAGAACGAGTTTAGTATTTTTATGTGCTCATCTTCTGTTTTCTAAGTGTTGTTTTGATTGTCCAATATATACTTTATTACAGTTATTGTCTTTACACGCTATTTAATATTTTATAACGGGAATTTTATGTATTAATTTGGCAAAGTTTTGAGATAAAGTTATATTGCTTTTTTATGTCTTTATTTTATACTGTGTGATTTGAAAATATATTGTAGCTTTTTAACTAATTATTTGATATGATGCAAAGATATATTTTTTGCTTATAAAATTTATGTATTCATTTTTGAAATAGGTTGATATTGAGTTATTTTGTATGACTAAACGCTTATTTAACTTTAGTATTTTGTCTGTATTCAGGATTTGTTAGTTTTATAGCTCCCTCTGCAGGCTTAATGGTTTAAATGATGTACTGAATGATAATTTAGGTAACATCCTAACCATATTGGTTTTGTGTACCATTTGACTTTTAAAATATTACTGGAGTTATATATTGTCATGTCAAGAAAATTGAATGAATTGTTTAAGGATGATATGTATTAAAAGTTATGAATAAATGAGTGGCTTCAATCTTTGGCGCAGGACATCCTACTAGCTATAGAGGATGTGAAGTAGCCAAGGAAATGCATATTAATAGACGCCCCTTATGGAGTGTTTTTTCACAAAAAAAAATCTTTGACGCAAGTAGAATGTAATTGTCAAAATGTCTTTAGTATAATGGTGATACAAAATTTAGTTTTTGTATTTGTGTTATTTCTAGATCTTCTATAATGCTGTGTATTGTTGCATCCAGAGCTAGACCATCGATTTGTTTGTAATATTTGTCAGTGTATGTCAAATATATTATATTATCAAAATGTATAATAAATTAAAAGATCCCTAACTAGTTCAGTTATCAATTGTTAGGATTTCTAAATTCCACTATACATTTTGTATCCGAATTTACACTTCACAGTACTAAATACATCCACTATTCCAAATAAAATACTTTTCATCCATTACTAAGTAGTTAAATTAGTCTTTCTTTCAAATTCTTTTACCCAAAAGTATTACTCAAACATTTTGATTCGCCTTGTATGAAGCTGTACAATACTCTCTCTTCCTACATCGAAAATAAGAAACCGTAATTCTTTTGATCTCAAAATGAAATAAATTTTAATAGAAAATAGTAGTTTCTGTGCTTTGAAGTAAATATTTTAAATTAATTTTCAAATTAAAATACTCATTGCCTTTGTTAACTTTGTGTTTGTTTAGATTGCTTTTTAATTTTTTTCTACATTTTGTTGCATATGTTTCCCTCCATGCTACACAGCTAACTTCGTTGTATACCAGTAACGTCATAATATTATCAAATTCGTTAAATATAAATGTTTATATTACAAGTAGAAACTGATAAATTTAAAGAAAATTAGTCGGCAATAATAAAATAAAACAATAAAATAATTCATTTATGTATTTTTCAGATCCATGTTTGGTACACTATTGCAGAAAGGGAAGGGAGTGCGTTCTCGAAGACGGAGAACCGAAATGCATATGTCAAAAACAGTGCCCGCCCCACGAAAAACCGGTTTGTGGTTCGGACGGACGGATATACTCGAATCATTGCGAAATCCACCGAGCTGCCTGTTTGCTGTCGATCGCAATCACGGCCGCCAGATGGTCGTTTTGCGAAAAACCTGGTAAGATTATTTTCAATGCATTTAAATTGATTTTAACCTCACTAAAGTGAAGTTAGTTCTCTAAAATTTATGTTTATTTTTTTAAAATACGTGATTATAACTGGCAATGCGGCATAAACTGTCAACAAGTTACGAATAACACGCCCTCTATAGGAAAAATGTTTATAAGTAGCAGTGTTGCCGACGCAAAAATTAAAATGATTCGAATGTCGAACTCATATTGTCCGAAATTTTCCGAACGTCACAACTCAATTATTCGAAATTATCCGAACTCGAAATAGGGTTGGAAACTGTTTAACGGATACACTATGATATTACGTTATTTTATAATATAACAGGACATCGATCAGCTAGCACTCTTATCTGCCGACCGCATCCATTCACAAATCAAATTTCAGACTGATTTAAACGTTCAATCTATTCTTAATAGGTACATTTTCATTCAACATGTCATATCTCGTAATTCCTCAAATAACTGGAAATTTGCCTAACTACCAAACAGAAACTAAAAACCTTCAGATACCGAGCATCATACAATTAGCGGATCCTAATTTCAATATTCCCGGTAAAATAGATATTTTGATAGGCTCTGACTACTTTTGGGAAATTATTAGTGTGGGACAAATCAAATTAAGTAGTTACGGAATTGGATTACAAAAAACTTATTTGGTTGGATCGTTGCTGGTCCTATACAGTCTAGTACATCTAATATTGTGCGTTGTAATTTGTCTAGAAATACCGAGATAGAAAAACAATTAGAACGTTTTTGGGCAATATAGGAGTTTCCTAACACAAAGGCCTGGTCAAAGGAAAAAAAATTGGCAGAATCACATTTTATTAATACAACAAAACGTGACGAAAACGGGCAATTTATAGTTACCATACCTCTTAAAGATAGTACCGAGGTTCTTGGGGATTCTCGTGAAATAGCACAAAAACGTTTTCTAAATTTAGATCGAAAATTCGGTAAAAACCCATCGTTTGAAAATAAATATCATAGATTTTTTAAAGAATACCGCGATTTAGGTCACATGGTGAAAGTCACTAAACCGGATAATGCACAAACTACATACTGTATGCCTCACCACAGGATAGTAAAAGATTCCAGCATAATTACGAAGTTAAGGGTCGTATTCGATTCATCGTGTCCTTCTATAGTCTCTTTTTATATATGGTCATTTTAAATATTTTTACAGAATAATCTAAATATTTTCTAAAATTGTAATAAATGTACCTAAGCTATTACAAGTTTTGGGTCTTTTATTGGTCCTTTATAAACATAAGCTGTACAGAACAATAGAAAAAGGTTTGAACAGGCCAAAAGCCCTGTGTATTAAAGATTACATAGCCGTATCTTAAGATTATTTTCAATAAGTACCTATTTGCCAATTTTGTTTAATTTTAATTCCAAGAATTTCTTACAGTAATCGAATTATAAGTAGATAAATACCTTCCCAACAAATTTCACCGAAAATGCGATTATAGGTTTTCCATTTAGTAAGGAGGTCCAAGTTGTGTATTCTTGACAGTTTACTAAATGTCGTTTAGTTGCAAAACTTGCAAGGTGCAGTGTGAATTCTAGTGTGATCATGGAAAATTTGGAAGGGCCGCGTAAACGACAAAAAATCGGTCCTTTAACAGTTAATGAAAAAACATTAATATTTAATTGTTTTAAATCATTTACAGACAAACATTTATGTAAAAGTGTTGATGACACAGTGGAATTAGTTAGTAGTACGCCTGGTGTTGGGAAATCTACGATTTACAGAGTTGTTAAAGAAGAGAAATGTGGCGAGTTTCAAACAGCACGTAAAGCTCCAGGAAAACCAAAATTTCAATTAGAAAATCTTTTGAAAGAAAGACTTCGAAGGAAAGTGCATGCGTTCTTCTTTAGAAAAGAATTTCCGACAGTAGACAAAGTTCTTGCCACGGTTCGAGATGATAAGGATTACCCTGAAATGAGTCGAAGCACACTATGGAAACTTTTAAAAGAAATAGGTTTTCTATGGAAAAAGCATTCCAGAAAGTCTATTTTAATAGAAAGAAGCGATATTGTAGTATGGAGAAGAAATTACCTAAGGACTATAAAAGAAATGAGAAACCAAAGAAGAAATATATTTTATTTAGATGAAACATGGATCAACGAGGGACATAAACCAAATAAATTTTGGCAAGATGAAACTGTTACAAGTCGAAGACAGGCTTTTTTAAATAATTTATCTACTAGTTTAAATCCACCATCAGGAAAGGGACGCAGACTAATAATACTACACATCGGTAGTTCAAACGGTTTTGTTAAAGGTGGTTTATTGACTTTTGAATCTACTCGTACCGGTGACTACCATGAGGACATGAATGCTGATGTCTTTAAAGAGTGGTTCGAACAAATTATAGATCTTCTTCCTCAGAACTGTATAATAGTAATGGATAATGCAAGTTATCACTCGAGACTTATAGAAAAAATGTCAACAACCAAGTGGTTAAAAAAAGATTTACAGAATTGGCTAAATTCAAAGAATATTAAGTTCCATCCCGGTTCTGTGAGAAAAGAACTGTATCATTTATGTTCCCTTCATAAAGAGAAATTCAAAAAATATGAAATTGATGAAATTGCAAAAAATCGTGGGATGACGGTGGTTAGATCACCACCATATCATTGTGTAGTAAACCCGATTGAACTGATTTAGGCACAGATAAAGGGAGAAGTTTCAAGAAAAAATAATTCTTTTAAAATGAGTGATGTTAAACAGTTGTTTTTGGAGGCTGTAAATAATGTGAAGCCTGAAAACTGAAAAAAGGCAGTAAATCATACGATTAAAGAAGAAGAGAAAATGTGGGAGTTGAACAATATTACTGATGAAATGATCGAGCCACTCATTGTAAATATTGGTTGCGACAGTCCATCTTCTGATTTCGATTCTGATTTGGATTTGTAGGTAAGAAGTAGTTTTTATATTAAAATTATTATTTATGAACGTAACGTTGTTTAAAAGTCAAAGTTTAAACTCTTATACTTACATAACCCGTTTGACACAATGTTCTTAACATACCTTGTGGAAAAATAAAACATTTTAGAAAAAATTGCACTTTTTTACCTTCAGCTGTTTAGAAGTTATAAGCAGGTTAATTAGGTGAAAATATAAGTGTATACTCGAGGAATAACTTCAAACAATATTTTAACTGTCTACTAAAAGAAGTGGTACGCCTATGGATTACGAACGCTTTATTATTTTAATAATCTCTCATACATAAAAATAGACTATAGTACCGGCGGTTATTCTTTCAATGATCTCCAAATAGTTGGGCCGACCATACAAACAGATTTGTTTTCGATCTTATTGCTCTATAGACAGCACAATTTCGTAATTGCAGGGGACATTGAAAAAATGTATCGGATGTGCAAAGTAGAGGCCATTGCAAAAAAATTTGTGGCGGGATAACCCCAATGAGGAAATAGATACATACGAACTGACCACAGTACGTTATGTTATGTTGAGAATGGGGTGTTAATGCACTGCCACCTAAAAGATCTATTGTGCTTCTTTCTGTCGCCAATGCACTAAGGAAATGTCTCAATGCCTATAACGACCCTTCCAATCCTATTTTCTCAAGGAAGTGTAGGATTTGAAGTGGCTTCAAGTTAGGTAAATCTCCCTCTTCTATTTGATATCTTCCTAACCACAGTAATATATGGAACGTCTTCAGCGCCTATTCTAGCCTTCCGCTGCTTATATCAGTTAGGGGTCGAGTGTGAGAATGAGCAAATTTCGGAAGTCATTAAACACAATTTTTATGTTGACGATATGTTAACTGGGGGTTCCACCGTAGAGAAAACGGCTCAAATTGCAAACGACGTAGTTAGAATTTTGAAGAGTGGGGGATTTCAGTTACGCAAATTCGTGTCTAATAGCTCAGAGGTTTTAGGGCTTATAAATTCATCTAATGATACACAGTTTATGGATTTTTTTATCGCTAGAAGAGCTAAATCATCTTGTGTCTACTCCGACAATGGCACGAATTTTATCGGGGCCTATAATGAACTCCACGATCTTGGCATTTTTCTCAAGAATAACGTCAATAATTTAACTGAAACTATAGAAAATGAAGGAATTGCATGGTGCTTTATTCCTGCCCATGCTCCACACTTTGGCGGCCTCTGGAAGGCAAGTGTGAAGTCGATGAAACAGCACTTAGTTAGAATTGCAGGAAATGCCTTACTCACCTTTGAACAGTTATACACCTTATTAGTAAAAATCTAGGCAATCTTGAATTCGCGTCCCATGTACCCACTTTCTTCAGACCCATCCGATTTAACTCGTCTTACCCCATCTCACTTCATTCTTGGTCGTCCACTGACATCGATTGCTGACTTAAGCTTGCTAAGCATACTAGAAAACCGTCTTAAATATTAGGAAATAATTTAGCAGCTACAGCAACATTTTTGGGCACGTTGGTCCTTAAATTACGTCTCAGGCTTGCAAGAATGCACTAAGTGGCGTACCAATCACGGTACACTTTAGTAAAACGATTTAATCATTATAGAAGAAGAAAATCTACCTTCCTTTCGCTGGTCCTTTGGCAGAATCGTATCGCTCCATCCAAGCAAAGATGGAATATCCAGAGTCGCCACAATCCGTACTAAGAGTAGATGTTTGAAGAGAGCATTTTCCAAAATATGCCCTCTGCCCAAAGCAGAGTCTTGATTTTCTCTTGAAAGAATTCTTTCAAGGGCCGGGAGGATGTTCCGTCTCAATAGCAACGTGTCATCTCCACACCAGGATGTGTGCAAAATTCGCCGAAGTCCTTTGATTAGAGACTTGTATTTTTGTTTTGTTTTGTAACCTCACATTTTAATTTTCGATATTTCGATATTGTACACATATATTTGGCAATAAAGAAGTGAAGTCGTAAATACATTCAGTTCTATAGTCGATTAACCAATAATAATTAATCTAGATCGCGATTAAACACTAAGTTATATTTTTTATTGATTTTTGTTT